TCTTCTACTTACGCTTCTCATTCCACTTCCACTCCCTCCTGTTTTCTCCCTCTACCTGTCCCTCTCTCCTCCTCCCTCTTACCAAAATCTGCCACTGTCTATCCGCAGGTCATTTTCATTTCTATTCATTTTTTCCCTCCATTTTAGACTCCCATTTCTATTCTTTCTTCTGTCTCTCCCTTTCGTTACAAGGTAATTTCGTCCCAGGGTTTTCTCGGGAACACTAATGAGGTTCCAATATTTGTCACCGCCACTTGGGGAGAAGAGGAAGAAGGTACAAGGAGGAAAAAGAAGAGGTAATGAGGAAGAAGGAGGAGTAGGAGGAGGAGGAGGAGGAGGAGGAGGAGGAGGAGAGGAGGAGGAGGAGGAGGAGAGGAGGAGGAAGAGGAAGAAGAAGTTGAGAAGGAAGAGGAGGAGGAGGAGATAGAGAGATATAGAGAGATAGAGATAGGTAGAGAGAGAGAGACTGAGAAGGGTGAGGTAAGCCCCCTCCTCCTTCTCCAAACAGCTAACTGCAGGTAAGTTTCAGATAGGCACAAACATATACGAAGGTTTTTGTCTCGGAGGAAAATGGTTTCCAACTTTCAAGCCTTTTTTCCCTTTCTTTCTTTCCCTCCATCCATCCCTCTTTTTTCGTCCCAGGAGAGAAGAACGCCATTCTGATACAAACTGCCCAAACTTTGTGTAATCAGGAAGGGTAGAGAGCGGGCGGGCGGAGAGAGAGAGAGAGGGGGGGGCACAGGGAGGGGGGAGGTGCGTCGAACAGGTAAAAACACGACGTAGATGCTGTTAAGACACCGAGGGCGTCAGCGGGATTCGGCAATATGTGCAACATGCTGATAACCGCACCGCAAGGAGGAGGCGCAAGACATGGAGGCAAAAGTTACGAAGAAGTTTTGTCGTTGGTTCGCACGTCCAAGTCACGAAGTTCTACAACTATCGCTATCAACTTAGCAAATATCACAACCACGACGGGCACCAACAACGCCTCCAAACACAACGCCCATTCTAACCCGTCTATATTAAAGCGAGTGATAATCTCTTCCCCTTAACTACACAAAGCCTCACCAGCATACATCCCAACATCACAACCATTATACAAACGAGGTATCACAACCAGTTCCACCAACCAAAAGGCAACTCTTTGCCACCATTACACAGGCGCAACCACCACTTCCAACACCAGTAGTTCTCCGCTACCACAACCACTTCCTACCACCAGTACTTCTCTGCCCCCCATTGCAAAGGCGCAACCACCACTTCCACCACCAGTATCTCTGCCACCACAGCAGCTGGACACAACCCCGACCCGTCGAAGGAGAACACAGCCGGCCATATACGATAACTGAGCAAACATTTGTTGTCGCTACTTGAGACCGGATGTAAAAGCATCCCCATGTTCAGCGCCACAGCCGTCTCTGTTCCTCTGGCCGCCACGCTCTGCCCGCTCGTCCTCCTCCTTTGTCTTTCTTTTTCTTCTTCTTCTTTTTTCATGTCTTCCTCGTCTATTTCTTTTTCTTCTTTTAATACTTTTTTTCTTCTACTCCATCCTCTTCTTGCTCCTCCTCCTCCATTTCCCCCCTTCTTCACATTTTGTTATCATCGTTACTGCTATTAATTACAGCACTTTTATTACTTTCATTGCACACCCTTCCCTCTTTCCTTTTCTTTCTTTTATCCTCTTGTATCTTATCTTTTTTCTTCACTTCTTCCTTCTTTCCTCTCAACTTTAATTGTCCATCACCTTCATTATACACTTACAATTATATTTTCACCCATTTCAATGCAGTTTTTACCTCTTCTATTCCCTTTCTTCTTCAACACTTCTTTCAGCATCTGTCTTCCCTCTTTTTTTTCTTCCAAGATCATTTCCCTCTTACCCTAACACTTTCCCCTCCCCTCCCCTCCCCTCCCCCCCTCCCCCTCCCTCCCTCCCCTCCCCTCCCTCCCTCTCCTCTCCTCTCCTCTCCTCTCCCTCTCTCTCTCTCCTCTCCTCTCCTCTCCTCTCCTCTCTCCTCCTCTCCTCTCTCCTCATCTCTCTTCTCAGAGGAGGGCAGAGGTGTGGAAGACGAAAGAAGGTGCCTGTGAGGAGGAAGGACGGAAGAAGAAATGATGTAAAGGAATAAAGTATACGGGGAGGAGAGGGATGAAAAGCGAGAGAGATAAGGATGGGAATAAGATATGAGGCGAGAGAGAGATAAGAGGGAAGGGATAAAACATACACAAAGAATATGGGGAAGATAAAGAGGGACTTAACAAGAGAGGGGAAAGGTGACGAAATGAGGAGAGAGATAGATGAAGATGAGTGAAAGAAGTCGACCAAGGAACAGGGTAAGAAGGTTAAGTAGGAAGAGAAAAGCAAAGGGGTAAGAGACAGGGAGAAACGGAGACGGGAGAGAAAGAGAAAGAGAATGGGAGAGAAGAAGAGAAAGAGAAAGAGAATGAGAAAAAGAAAGAGAAAGAGAAAAAAGAGAGAGTACAATAACAAAAACGATTTTCAAAGCCAATAATACTCGAGCGGAAAGTGAAACCCCACGGCCTGAAGAATGGACCGTAAAGCCCCGGATCGCCTGCACTGAAAGTTAAAACGCACAGCTGTCATACGGACTGCAATAAGTTTTCCGCTGCCCTATCCTCTGCTACCCAGTTCATGTCACAAGGTAAATGACAATGTTCGCGCCATGAAAATCTGTCTAAACAAGTGAATAAATAAAGTTATATTTCATCCTAACCCTAGATTCACTGCCACTGACCACTCTCTTCTCCAAAAGCTTGAGAAGCCTTTTCTACTAACGCCTACACTCTCCCGCTTCCACCTGTCTCGTCTTCCGCGCCTCCACCTGTTTCCACTTCCCTACTAATTCCACTCTGTTCCCTCCACTAGCCTCCACTCTACTCCCACCCGCCTCCTCCCGCGTGCATCGGTTTCATCCCTATCCACCAATTTCCAATCTGTTTCCTCTCCCGATCTCCTCCTGCTGTGTATATTCTACCCCATTTGTCTCCTCCATATTTTTCCACATTCTTAATCCTGTCTCCACTCCTTCCATTAGTATGTTTACCAGTCTTCCACTTTACTCCTCGCCCCCACCTCTACACTCCCCTCCATCCTCTCCCACCCCTCTCCCCTCCATCCTTCCCCCTCTCCCCTCCATCCTTTCCCCCCCCCTCTCCCTTCTATCCTCCACCATCCCTCTCCTTCCCATCCTCCTCCACCTGTTTCCAGCCTCTCCTCTTGCCTCTATCCACGGCGTCAGCGCTCCCTCCGACTCCCCGAAGCATCCATCAAAATTAGGCGACACCGAGGCCCTTCATTACAATTTTCTCTCATTTTTTTTCTTTTCCAACGTGGCGCTCTGCATCAGCTTTACATGACGTTGTTCTTGCGTCGCGTCAGAGCTCTTGGGTCCCGGATGACTGCTTCAGACACGAGAAAATGTCTCGAGGGATGGAGGGCAAAGGAAAAAAAGAAAGGAAAAGAAAAAAATATATATACACTGCATGTTATATATATACCGCAAGCAGGCGCGCACGCGCGCGCCTGCTTGCGCACACACACACACACACATTGCCTTTCCCAAATCCATAAAATACATAAGACTCCGTAAGGCTCCCCCCGCAATGCTCTCAGGGAAAGACTCGGCATCCCACCCTCCCTCGCTCCTCCCCCTCCCCCTCGCCAACGCGGAAGTTCAGCGCAATAATCGATATTTCTTCAGACAAAGAAAGGGAAAAAAGTGAAACTCTCTATACTATTACTTACATTTTTCATTTTTTTAAACCTAGCCATGGTCTAAAGCGCTCATTAAACATACCGCGTAAAAAATATACCTATTTCAGCAGCCCAAAGCAACCACAATGCCTCGACTCTCCTCGTTATTAGCTGCCATTTACAAACGTTTCGCCCTCTTAAATCACCGGTAATGAATATGCTGTCGAATATCCATTCCGATTTAGCAAAAAGCGCAATTAACGGGCGCGATGCCTTCGGGGATATTAAGTGATCAATCACCCGTCGAGACAAACGTTTGCAAATCTAACGTTCCGAAGGAAGAATCTCACTCGAACACAGCGTGCACGTTTTAATAACACGGGCGGTGACGATTTTCTTTTCTTTTTACTTTATTCTATTTCGCGTTTCGCCCCTCTGTCGGTTACCATGACAACGAGCAGCTACGACATAATAACACCAGAAGCAGAAACATTAGGTAAAAAAGACATCAGGTTGTGAGATGCACTACCCTTTCAGTCTGACGAATGTCCAATCACTCTCTTTAACGTTCGTGAACATGCATAACACGTAGCCAGCCAGTGCATAGCTAAATGCGGTAATAGTTACGAATGTTCGGCCGTATATTGCATTTAGCTATTTTTCTCACATCTCATTAAATACTCATGATTATTCTATTTTTTCTTATCATTTTTTTATTATTTTTATATTCTATTCACTCATCAATTACTCTTCCATTCATATATAATTTCTTTAATTTTGGGGGGAGTTATCAACACCAAAATATAAAATGAAACGCGTGTCCGAAGCGCCAATTCATACTGATATAATCGTTGCTTGCATGTCTACTGAGTAAGAGCATTTCGCGACTGACTAACTGGCAGCCAGATTCACAGCTAGACTAAATCCAGACAGACACGTTGCAGACACTGAATGCAGACAGCAGACACAGGTATATTTAAACCACTGATTTCACACAAGGCACGTTCCAGCCCCTCCACACAAGACAGCAGCCATTGGAACCTTCATCGCGTACGCACAGACACACACAAACACACACGCACACAGACACATACTCGTTTCTCACATCTTACAGACAACCTTACAAAATGAAGTCAGAAAAGTATATTTTATTTACATATATCCAAACCTACATTCCAAACCGTTGGAAAAAAGAGAAAAAACAACAAAAAGAGAAAGAGAGAAAAAAAGAAGATTCTACGAAAGAGAAACAAAACGACAAGAAAAGATTGCCAAGCGTCTCCCTTACCTTCTGTGTCTTGCTCGCTTCTTCTCCTCATCCGAGAGGCCCGACCAGGAGCGGCGGCGGTGGCAGTCGGTGGTTCCCCCGCGGCTCTTCCGGGCGTCCAGGAATTCCTCGGAACCTGTAGGGGGGAGAGGGAGACCGCTACGTGTCAGATAAGGTCCTCTTTTGCTCCTGTAGGTGAAGGATAGGAGGGATGTGTGTATGTATGTGTGTGTTTATGTATATATATATATATATATATATATATATATATATATATATGTATAATATAAGTAATAAGTTGCATATATACCGTGCGTATATATGCAGATATGTAGGAGTGGTGGGAGGTTAGGGGGGATGATACAGACTGGGGGGGGAGGGATATGGGGGGACTCGAGATTCTACGTCCCAGCTCAACATTTCCGAACGAAAGTCTGCTGCGTCGCTGTATTTCTTTATTTCATCATTTTTCTTTTGAATACACCTTTGCTACTTTATTAGTTTAGAGGAAGAAGAGTGCAGGAAATTAAATAAATGAGTAGAGACAGACGACCATAGAGAAAAAGGTGATGAACCCTCCACCCCACTCTCCACACTCTCTCTCTCCCTCACTCCGTCCTGTCCATTGCCGTGTCGTTTGTTATTCACAGGACGACTTGCACATTCACGGCTGGCGAGGCGGATCAGGCACGGTCGGTGGGGCAAAATGCAATCGAACAACCACAGTTATTCAGTTAATGACTATTACGCAAAAAAAGTTTTAATGATTGTGATGCTGAATAACGAGTTCAATATGCAGATATGTATATCGTATACATTGTATGTGGACGGGGGAGGGAGGTGGAGGGAGGGGGAGGCGAGAGAGAGATGGAATGACGGGTGAGAGGGAGAGAAGGAAATAAAGGATATAATGGGAAGAAAAATGAGGGAGAGAGAAAGGAGAGGACTCAAACAATTAGAGAAAATGAGAGAGGAAGTAAGGGAGGGAGGGAGGAAGAGAGAGAAAGATGAAGACTGACAAGAAAGAAAAAAATAATCAAAAAATAAAATAAATAAAGAAAAATTACTAACGGCAAAGGGAAATGCAAGACTAAAATGCAAATCAAAAGATGAAAACCTTCCCCGTCCACAGACGCAGAATAAACACAAAACCAGTGCAGAACAAACACAAGGGGTCGCGGTTGCCGAAGTTCAAGTGCAGGGAATCAAACACAGTTACATTACACACAGATCTTGGGACATATAATCCTACATGATCATAATTGCAAAAACCAAATGAACCCCTAAATAAGAACCTAAATACCCACACACCCTCTAATGAAAGAACCTAAATAACTAATCTAAAAAAGAAAAGAAACGAAAAAAAGAGAGAAAAGAACGTAAGAAAATCAAATGCCAGAAGGATCAAACGCCCCCAAAGACCCCCCCCCAAAAAAAAAATATAATAATATATAAATAAATAAAAAATTGAAATAGACCTATCTACCCCTAAAGCAGAACCTAAACGACCCTCAGGAAAGTCCTAGTCCTTTCAATACCACTCCACAGAATACAAGAGACACCGTACCACTTCTCTCGGGACTCTTCAAGTAAAAAACTCTGTCAACCCACAGAACTCTACCAAACTATCATCATCATCACATCTATTTTACCATTACTATCATTATCACATTATGATCATTATCACTATAAGCAATGCCATTACAATCATCATTATCATTAGCAATACCATCTATCATTATTACTATGACCATTGCTACAGTATCATCGTCACTACAATCATCATCATCATCATCAATAAATCATCCAAGCTGATCCACACGAGGTTACTTAAGCCTAGTCAACGTGAGGTTATCCAAGCTTATCCACTTGAGGTTAACCACAAACAAGGTATCCAAGCTGACTCACACAGAGTTATCCAAGCTTATCTACATGAGGCTAGGCTTATCCATACGATGTTATCCAACCTTATCCACATGAGGTTACCCACAAACAAGTGATCCAAGCTGATCCACACAAGGTTATTCAAGCTGCCTAAGCCTCTCCACAAACAGGCATCCCAGGCTTATCCACACGAGATCATCCGCACAAAGCCAGATCGCGAAAAAACGGCCGCACACGCATGAACAAACTCCCTTTTCAACCCTGGAATTTCTGTCCGCTTCATCGCAAGAAATGGGACAAGAAATTCCCAGATAAAATCACGATGGCGCGACGTAAATCAAAAACCAAACGAGAGAGAGCAAACAGGGAGGAGAAAGAGGAAGAAAAAGGAAAGAAAATGAAACGAAAGAAGGACGACATGAATCACCGAAGTGGCGCTCTATATTTTTCCAAAAGAAAGAAAAAGAAATAGAAACAAGGTCATATGCACTTAAATACGCTAAACATTGTGAAAAAGAAAGACAAAGAATAAGGAAAAAGGGGACATGTGCACTTAAGTACGCAATATATTTTGCAATATCTGTTTTATCGCTCGCATTTCTAACTGCATATTAAACAGCAAAAATAGTCTAGCCTATCGGAGGGTTGAACACGGCCGGCCAAATATCTATTGAAATCCTATACTTTATCCGCTAAACCGATTCTTGCAAAAAATCTTTCCAAGAAGTCTTATAATGCCCTTTTCTTTCTTAATCTTGACTTCGCGACGCAACCTGGAAACTGAACAGCTAAAAACGAAGAAAAAATACAAATCTTAAAATGCTTTAATACGGGTGGTTCCACGAAATCTGGGGGTCCGCAAGAGTATATTTGGTGTCCGCTAAGGTAGCTTTTAGGTCTGCTAGGGTAGATTTGAGAGCCAATAAGGTTGATTTTTGGTCCGCTAAGGTAGAACTGGGTGTCATGTTCGAAATCCCAACAGACTCCTGCGCAGAATGTAAAGTTACTTTTACGATGAAGCTAACGATAAACTTTTCTTAACCTCAATGCAGAGAGAGAGAGAGAGAGAGAGAGAGAGAGAGAGAGAGAGAGAGAGAGAGAGAGAGAGAGGAGAGAGAGAGAGAGAGAGAGAGAGAGAGAGAGAGAGAGAGAGAGAGAGAGAGAGAGCGAGAGAGAGAGAGAGAGAGAGAAGAGAGAGAAGAAGAGAGAGAGAGAGAGAGAGAGAGGAGAGAGGGAGAGAGAGAGAGGGGAAGAGGA